TATTTTTTAATTCCAGAATAATTCTTAAATAAGAAATATAATTTTGTTAATATTTTTGTTTTGAAAATTATCTATTGTGTTTATAACTAATATATTTAATTTTATAGTATACTTTTGGTACATAGTTTTCACAAAACTAGTATTTAAATATACACTTTGAATAATTATAATTTAAAAATAATCCTATTATTAATTTATTAATTATAGGACAAGTGGATATAGTGGAACAATATTTATAAATGACAAACCCCRAGTATTGRAATCGTTTCAGAAACAATCATGTTACATTATGCAAGAAGACCAACTTCATGTGCAATTAACAGTCAGAGAAGCTATGGAATTCGCATTAAAGTTGAAATGCTTGACTTTATCATTAAACGCAAGCAGGCTTAAAATGGTATAAAATTAAAATGTTTAGTTATTGCATTAATCTATCAAGAAATACATAATATGTTTTAATATGTACTATTTCAGATAGATTTGATTTTAGAAAATTTGAATCTGCTTAAAATTCAAGACACAGCTACAATGAATTTATCTGGTGGCGAACGTAGAAAACTATCCATTGCATTAGAACTGGTCCATAATCCAAGCATCATGTTTTTTGACGAACCAACCAGGTGAGTTTATTTGCTTATGATAATATTTTTGTTTATCAAGCGGATGTCAGCACATTTCTTTTTCTTCGACTCACGTTCATCATACCAAATTTTATGTCTATAACAGTATAACATTAATCATAATAATTTCTAAAATTAGTGAAATGACCTCTTATGAAATTTAAATTAAGATTATTATTGAGGGCATCTCATTGACTTTTTATTATATTATTATTTTAAAGCAAGTTATAAGTATTTTAAAATTATGAGCTGTTTATACATCTTAAAATATTCATCTCCCTTTAAAATGTATTCTTTGAGATGCTCTAGATCAGCAGTCCTCACTAGGATTTAAGAAAGGGCCAAATATAATTTTTGAAAATCACTTGTGGGCCGCTTACATTTTTATTTTTGTCATATTTATTTTAATTTGTACAATCTGTATAAAATTTTAGATAGATGCTCTAGACAGATAATAACCTTACTTTTAAATTTTAAAAAAGGTCATTTCACTCWAATTTTATAAATTATTATGATTAAAATAATTATTGTAAACGGATATTTTGCTAGGTCAGAGGTAGAGAGAAAAAAGCGCTGGCAATGCTGAAATCCTCTAAATGTAAAATAAAACATATATGTTTATAATAATACCATGTTTAATTTTTAGAGTTTTWWWAAAAATAAATTTGCAATTAATAAATGATAAATTATGATTTTATGTTTTTATGTTTTAATATAAAATTTCAATGATTGGATTAATTATAATATGAATTATWATTTAATTTAGTGGATTAGATAGTTTGTCAGCAAATCAAGTGTTGGCCACTTTAAGGGAGCTAGCAAACACTAGCCGTAACATCATTTGTACAATACACCAAGCTTCTGCTTCACAATTGAAGATATTTGACATTCTTTATGTACTAACTCCATCTGGCCAATGTATTTATCATGGTTTGACATCAAATCTTTTAGATTATATGGCTGTCCAAGGTTTAAGATGTCCATTGTATCACAATGCTGCAGACTACAGTTAGTATATATTATTATTTATTGAATTTTTGTTTTTAAATTGTTATRAAAACTGTAAATTAATTGGTATTTTCAACAGTTATTGAAATAAGTCTTGGAGAGTATGGAGATCAAACTGAAAAATTAGTAAAATATATCGATAATGGAAAGTCTACAGAATGGTTAAAGAATACATATCAAAAAAATTTAATTAAAGGTTGATTAAAATGAAACAATTTATTATTTAAGTTGTTTATGTTAACCTATATTATATAACGCGAGTGCAAACTTTGCCTTATATTAAGTAATTATATTGTGGTGCAGATGTGTAGTATACATAAAATATAATTTTATGTATGCTTGTTTTTGTAAGCGAGCTTAATGTCTGATGTAACAGTTCAATTTCTAAGTAGTTTTCTATTTCAACATTTAAAACTGGTTTTCTAATTTCAGAAGATCAGTTGGTAGTTGTTAACATCAATGACGAATGTAAAAATAAACAGTTTACCAATAATTTGATTCAAATTGTTATTTTATCGCATAGGTGTACAGTTAAGACATTAAGAGAAAAAGTATTTATAATAGAAATTTAAATTTATTTTTATACATAAAATGTAGTTATACATTATATAAATGCATATTAATACTTAGTGTTTTACTATATTTATAGTTTATTATTACAAGATTGATGGTTCATATTATTGTTAGTGCTGTATATGGTTGGATTTACTTCGGTGTTGGTATTAATGCATCATTTATACACGATAATCTAATGTTATTGTTCTTCAGTTTGCTATTTATTATGTATACTGCTAGTTCATCAATGATAATCAACTGTAAGTTTTGTGCGATATTAACTATTAATTAATAACATATATATTGGATGATTTACCTATAATATCCATCGCAATTTTTTCCTTAAATAATGAATTAATTCAAATTCTGACTTTTGGAATTTCTAAATAATATGTACCTGTATCCTGTGGCAATTCAAACTTTGTTTTTCAAATGAGAACCCCTCACCCTCTTTCAATATGAATTATTTAATAGATATATTTTTTTAAATGTTGATGTACCTATTTCAAAATTTGATAGAGTAATATTTCATTTATTAAAATGTTTGTACTAAGAATAATAGTCCTTGAAAATGGTTTCACTAAAATTTAAAATTTGTGTAATATTGGATCTAATATTAATTAATTATTTTTAAGTATAACTTGGGCCATTTTTACAAATTAATAATTATTTTTGTCGATAGCTTTATATCAATTATTAAAATTAAATAACCATAGTTCCTTTTTTACAACTCGATTATTATGGACCTTTAATTCTTAGTACATAAAGTTAAATTAACTCAAAAAATAAGTACTTGTACTAATTTTGGTTCTGATATGTCAACATCTTCAGAAAAATTATCTACTAAATAAATTACAGTWGAAAATAAGGTTTCTTATTTTAAAAACAAAAGTTTTTATTTACTCGGGACACTCATTATGTAGTATAAAAACCTCAATAATTTTAAAATGTGGTCTTTAAGTATTTTAAAAAATTTGAAAATTCAGATATTCTGTATTATTGAAGTATAAAAGGGATGAGCTAGCTTGATGAATCATCTTGTATAAGCTCATTCAATATACACTCATAGACTTGTGTGAGTACATGTATAATATATTTGTAATATTTGTGTTGAAGTTCCCTTAGAAATTCCAATACTTTCAAAAGAGCATTTCAACCAGTGGTATTCCTTGTCATCATATTATCTGAGTTTCACAATAATAGATCTACCAATTCAGGTAATTGTTTGAAAACATAAAACATTGAAGATATATCTGTATAATAGTGAAAAAATTTACATTATGGCGTGTATATATTAAAAATATATAAAAAAAAAGTTGTAATGTATGTGATTGGGGACACTGTTAGTTGACAGTCCCCGCACCTAGCGGGTGAATAACAAAATAAGATTTTATGTTATTGAGTAATGTAGTGACTATCTATAAAATATAAAAAGGTTATGATAATGTAATTGTATAATATTTTCCTTGATGTGAATTTGAAGCAGTTGTAACTAAGATATTGTAATTATGTTAAATATACAAATCGTTGTCTCATTGCATTATGTGTATCTGTTAATATTATAATTTATAATGTGGAACGACGATGAACGGATCTTACAAAAGTAGTTGTTTAAATTAATATTAATACATCTGATAAATGTATATGTATACTTTTCTGAAACTAATTCATAACATATTTAATTCAATTTTATATATTTACTCACTGAATTATATATTTAGTTTAATATTACATACTACATTTCTTAAATATCTAAACTAAGGTTTGTTTTTTAAACATTCGCTGATCCAATGTAGCACTGTCATAAAATGTATCCCTAATATTATTTGTTTTACACAAATAACAAATAATTTCTACTTTTCAGGTTTTATGTACTTTTTTGTACTGTGTAGTCTTGTACTATTTCACTGGACAGCCACTTGAATGGCCAAGGTTTGGATTGTATATACTCATGATGATAATGGTAGGACTGTTATCACAGACCATAGGCATGTTAACGGGAACATTGTTCAACGATTTAAAAGTGAGTATTCTATAATACATATACATTAACCATTATTTTGTGTTGATTACTTTTTTTATATTATCTTCATAGTTTAGCACAATTCTAACGAGCTTCCTGCTCATGCCATGGATGATGTTTGGTGGAATTTTTATTAAAATATCTGACACGCCAGAGATTTTTCGATGGTTGTTTGACATTTCTTTTATGAAACATGCCATGGAAGGAATAGTGCATTGTGTTTATGGTTTGGATCGATCCAGGTTATATTGTCCTAAAGTATGTTTTTACTGACATAGTGACATATTTAAAGGATTCAAAGTTCTATTATATAATATTTAAACTCTGAAAAATATTTCAGTTTTACTGTTACAGCTCTTCGCCATCAAATATATTAAAAGATTTAGACATGCCAGTCAACAAGTATTGGTTTAATTTACTTGTTGTTGTCACTATTTACTTGTTATTGAAGGTATTAACATATTTAGTATTGAAAAAAAGGTTAGAGATTCACTGATGTCCCTCCATACATAGTTTTATGTTTCATATGTCACTGTATACAGATTAGGGGTCGCGGTTGTGAACAGGTATTAGAATACACGGAGCCCGGATACGCGGGCAAAAAATATATTAAAGCCCGTATATTTAATATCTTCGTGTATAATACCCGTGTATACCCGTGCGTATATTGTATATTAATTCAGAATTCAATCAGATATACTTTAATATAAATATTTTTTTTGCTAACTTTTCCTTACTCTTTATACGAGTCTTTATAAGAATAAATAGCACAACACATTAATTATATTAATACTCATTTATTATAAGTTATTTTTATAGTTATTAGTTATGCTTAAAAATTAGTATGATGCATTCGTTTATTGTATAATATTATATAGGCATAARCACTATAAACTATAAGTATAATAATATATAAGAGAGTAACATATACTAAGAGGTAGTGAACACAATATATAATGATATGTATATTGGTCATATTGAGTTCAGAAAGTGRAGTAATCTTAAGTCAGCACTACAAAATAGTGAAATACGATTTTATTTAAATATATGAGTATTTAAGGTCACGGGTATTTATATAACATATACTTTTATAACACGGGCTTTAAGCCCGTCATCGGTAAGAAAACATGGGTATTCATGTGATTCATTACACGTGTAATCGCGACCTCTTATACACATTAGTATATATATTTTTTTTTTGTACAATTTGTATTAATATTCTTACCAATGATTGGTATAACGTTTATACTGTTACCTTGATTAACTCTGCCAAAGATAGAAAAGTGATAATTAATAATTATTATTATATTAGTTAATTAAATATAAAGTAAATTATTTAATTTAAGTTTTTAAATCACAAACTAATGTAATGATTAATAAGACTAGTGATTCTGTACGTCTTGATATCAATGTTTAAATTATTTTTAATGATTCTTTTTATGTTATTCACAAACTTTGTTTTATTTATGTTTTTAAAAAATGTAAAAATGTTTTATTTATAATTTTTGAAGCAGAATGATTACTCTAGTCTACAATAAGTTTATTTTGTCCGATTTATTATTGACTTACAATTTATTTACATATTCAGTTTTATGATTTAATTTGACTTTTTAATATATCTAAACATATTTTCTATCTTTTGACCTTAGGCAATTGTATTAAAAAATTTTAAAAACCTTGATATATTAATAAAATGTTTTGTTTGTTTCATTATTATAACAATTACTATGTTTATATGATGGTGTTAAAACAGTTTGAAATTAAATTGATTTTGAATTCTTAAACTGCATAGTGCAAGCGTTTTAAGTTTTAAAATGGTTTACATTTTTTAAACCCTTTTTTACAACTTACTTCGTTTATTTCAGGGATGGCCAACCCGCAACCCGCCTTGGAAAATTTTGAGGCCCGCGAACATTTATCAAATATTTACCAAAAAAAWAATAATTTCATTTATTATTTTTATATTTAAAAAAGCTTAGTAAACGAGTTGAGAAACAAATATCTCACTAAATAGTAAAATAAATAAATAAAAACTATTATATGTAATACATATTATCTATGTTAATAAATTATGAGTCATAGTAAAAACAATAATAATAATTCATTCTGTTTATTTCAAATAATTAATACACCAAAACTTATTTTATAATAATAATTAATTTTGTTTATAATGTTTACTCCATTTTTTTTTATATTGGGGCAAAATACTTTTATAATTTAATATCTGGCWCACAGGATTGTTATGTATTTACATAGTGGCCCGCAAGATCATTTGGGTTGGCCACCCCTGGTTTATATGATGGTGTTAAAACTATTTACATTTTATAAACCATTAATACAGTTAAGACGCTTACACTATGTAGTTTAAGAATATAATACCAGTTTAATTACCGTTTTAATGCCATCATATAAACGTAGTAATATTAAGCTAAATAGATGCAAATCAAACTTATCAAACAATTTAATCATCACAAAAAGCATTATATGACATATTGTATTCTAGATAATTTATTTTTATATTTATAAATATTAAAAAACAATAYAAATTTTTGCCTATTTATTTTATATACGAAATATTAAATATTAATACTGCAAATGAATAAACACTTATTGAAATTGTACACCTTAAAAAAGTTTAGTAAATTGCATTTTAATTATAGTTTGTATTGTTTTTAGCATCTTTAGCTTAGTAATTAGAGTGAATTGACTATTATGAAACTTGATGGTAAGAACATTTCTGTGTATGTATGTGAGTTTCTTTCAAACTTTTCTGTTTTTAAATAAGTTATAACTGTTATAAGTATTTTTAATTTTAYGGATGCAAAAGTTGCTAAAAATTTGAACTATCTTAAATAACCTAAGTACAAACGCACATAATACTCTATTCATCAACTTTTATATTACGTTGATTTTCTCTAAATTTTAAGGTAATGAATCTAAATGCAATCTGCTAAGTATAATTGTTATGTCTAATTTGCTAAGTTATGTACTTGTAAGACATAGACAACAAATACCAGTATAGTGTCCTCTTAAAAAAAAATGCAGAATTATACTTATTACATTATGATGGAAAACAATAGGAAAATGTTATTATAAATAATGTTCAGTATTTTWGCAAATTGCTTTTGCTTATGATACAACAACTGGCACTGTGTCATCAAGTTATTTTCTTGTTACTTGCTGTTAATGAATTTTACAATTTTGTGCAGTACAACAATGACTACAAATATAACAAAATTTATAAGAAACACTCTTGTTTTTGATTAAATTTATAGAACATTCTAAAACATATTCCATCAAGTTTATATTATAACCTAACGTATTTAATTAGTGAACCCAATGATTGACTATGGTTACACTTAAAATTATTTTAATTTTAAAACTTTAAATTTTAACTATTGTGTTTTACTTAAAACAATTGTTTGCCTGATATGATCATATGAATAACAGGACGTCCTATTGATGAGATCACTAAACACAAATCAAGTCCAACAAGCATTTTGGTTATAACAAGGACAAATATATTTCAATATAAAAAGACTAAAACATCTTACAAAATATATAATCAACCAATAAAGGTGAAAAAACGAACAAGACAATAATAATTTACAAATAAAAACTATGTGTAATGAATGTTTCAAAAATAAAACACTACGCACCCAAAGAAAATCTCTGATAAGCCAAAATAAGTAATTTCATAAATAAATGTTTTACATATTATGATTCAATGATTGATTAAGTAATAAAACAGGGGTCTGGTGTTGATATTGCTCAATATTCAATAGGAAATATCAAATTGTTGGTAGATGCCTGTTTGGCAAGTGAAGCGTTTTTCCTAGCTGATTTACTCTTGCGTCGTTTATGGTCTTTCTTAGAGTCGGCTACAACTGTAACTTTTGACGATACAATTCTTGGTATACTATTACTATTGTCATCAGACATTTCGCCAGCACTGCTTTCTGACACACTGGTCACATCACTTTCTGAAACCACATTAAGTAATCCATATGATCTGTCTTCAGCTTCAGACGCTTCGCTTTCACTGGGAGTATTATATTCTCGTATATTTCGCTTACGCTGTTGACSTTGTCTGTGTTTTTTTGCTTGTGCYGCTATGCTAATATTGAAACTGAAAATCRAAAATTATGTAGTAAGGGATACCATTTAAATATTGTATGAAATTTTATAACACATACTTAATCTTTTTTTCGATGACGTGATCATTAAAACGAACAGTTTTTTTTTGAATTAAAATCATTCATACTTGACCCCAGTACATCTGAACTTTCAGTGTCTACGTTGTCCACAGATGAACTGTTGATTAGAGGAGATAAATTTGTGTTATCTATGGTACTACATTCAGACAAAGCTCTTTTTTTTAAGATCCCACGCTATTGGAAAAAGAAATCATATTACAGAATTTAAACATTTGTAAATTTAGAAAAAAAATATATATTATTTATTCACAGTGTAATCACTTACAATCATTGGTCTGATGTTATTAAATTCAATTGGTAATGAGCCAGGTATGAAATTTATTGTTTTAATAGTTTCTGGTAAACTGTTGGTAACATTTATTGGTATAGCGTTTGACTTTTGAATCTTATTTCCTTTCTTCTTTTTTTTTTTTTCCTTGGATGTTTTACCATTTTTATCTTTGCMCAGATAATCATCATCATTTTTCTTGATGTTCTGTTGTTTTTGATTATTTAATTCATCTTCTTCCTTACTATTGTCAAATACGTCATCATCATCATCATCGTCACTATCATTCAGATGAAGTGTAACACWGTTAGTTAAAGGTTTTGAATTTTCCTGAAGTGTTTCTATTTCAATACACTGAATTTTTAAGCTTTCTTGGTCAAGTCCATACCAGTATTGATTATTGTCTGGTTTAAAATGTATGGAAAAATGTAGTAGAACATTTTTATCAGAAAGTAATATGTGGACATTAGACTTTAATAAGCTCGATTCAGATGGAATTTTTAAGCAAAAAGCAAACCATATAGGGAAAAATCCCGAACCAATGGAATGGAATTTTCCAGAGATCAAATTTTTGTCCTTAATAACTATCACATCAATCGATGTTGGATCTACATTTTTTACATTGAGYGTGAGAAAACATTTATTTTCAAAAATAAATTCATGTTCTGGAAGGATATAGTGCACATCATTTTCAGTGATATTACTATTATTATAGCTATTACAGACAGTGATATCTTTAAAATCATTTGAGTTCACATGGTCATGACCATTAGTTAYTGTAGTTTTATTAACAACCATAGTATTACAGTTTTGAACGTCATTGTTAATTTCATTATTGATCACAACCGCATCTAAATTACTATTATCAATATCAAAATCATGATCATTTTCATCTTTTGACATTTCAACCTCACTAATAAGATTTTTTACATAATCTAGTGATGGTTCAGACCGCAACACTGGGAGGCATATAATTAGCTTTTTAGTGCTTTGATCAAATGTAGCATTTCCTTCATTTTCCATTACGCTATACGGCAAACTAATATCGAGTTTATACTTTGAAGGCTTATGACAAATTAAGTTTAATTTTTTTGGGAGCACATCAAGCTCTACATTGGCTGAAGAGTCCAGAAGCGGTAAGTTGATTTCAACAATTAACTTTTTTGGTATGACCGCATTCATTTTGCAATGCATATTATATCCATGTTCGTGAATGTCTATGTCGTTTCGATATTTTATTATGTACTTAGGAACAGTAAAAAGTGATTTTTGTTTCAATGCGCCCAGATCATAATGTTGAACCGGTCGGTCAACTGGTGGCTTATAAGGACACCCGGGCAATTCAGCAGACTGGAATTCAGCAGAAGGCTGGAAATCCTTGATCGACTTACGTATGACCAATGACCGGGCAACACCTTTGAACGCAATTCTCGGATACTTGAGATTAGCCTTGTCCAAAACCACGTTGTTGTTCTTCTCGATCATACTGAGTGCCGTGTCCTCGACCATATCTTTGAGATTCTTGCGGTGTGCGGCAAACTTGAGCGCGTCCGGATGAAACACCACATCGTACACGTCGCACGGCTTGTGGGCCTTGTCGTAGTCCTCGCGTACCGGTGACAGACAATGCGGCAGGGACCAATGGTCACCRCCGCTACCTGGACGGCTGGTCGGTTTCTGCAGCACATCGCAACAGCACACGTTGATGAACACCTTCCGCACGCCGTCGGCGCTCGTCTTCATCACGTAACCGGGCTGCGGCCGCACGAACGTCACTCGGGTGCCGCGTTCCAGTTCGTACTGTTCTACCTCCCGCTCGTACTGCGCTCGGTTCTCCGGGTCGTTGATCTCGTCCACGTACTCGCACAGCAGTTTGCGGAACTGTTCATTCTTCAACGCCTCGCCGATGCTGTCCAATTCCCGTTTGGTGATGTCCAGATCGTCGAGCTTTGCCTGTCGACTGCGGTCGTCGTCGTTCATAGCTCGAGCACGCGAGTTTTCGGGGTTATTGTATTATGTCGTCGGCGAGCAAACAACCGATCGGATGCGATTGCGAATTTCGTGTTTTCGCGGTACTGTTTACGTTATCCTTCCGCCGCGAACCGAACAGTAAATATTATTGACTTATTGTGATTATTTATTGTTATCGGTAGGTGGGTGGTACAATAGCCTACCTATTTATTACTATTGTTTACTATTGGTGCGGCGGCCCACGATTAACAAATGTCAACAATGACCGTCACGGAAGTAGGTAGCATAATGCAAATGCTATAATGTTTACAGTTTACTATAAAATTATTATTATATTCATGGTTCATTCGAGCATAATTGTTCTACACACCATAGATACGTTATCACGTATTATCAGCAGTTGTAGACCTCCCGGGCCAAGGTTAATATAAAATATAGAAAAATAAATATAAATAAATATATTATAAATAAAGTTATATTAACCTTGCTCCCGGGCCCCGGCCGGGCATTATGGTATCATCATTTATCACATATTAAGTAAATTTTTTTSTGTGGTAATATTACGATTTAAGATATATATATAATATCTTATTATATTATTATATATCTTATTATAATAATATTATATATCTTATTTAAGTATATGTATATCTTAAATCGAGGGTAATATCACCATAGAGGCATACACCTTATACTAATTTAGTAATTTATAATTATTAATTAGACGGGCAATAGTAGCAGTTCGAACGATCTGACGAGAGGGCGCTGCTGGCGGTACACCGTGTACGGCGCACATGCGCATTAATGAGTACAATATGTTTAAAACCGTTACCCGACATAAAGTACGATAAAATACTATGTATTCTATACATAGTATTTGCCATTTGGTACAATAAAATATTATAAAATATAAATTATAATACATTTTTTATTTGTACTTTGTGTTTGTAGTTTGTACCTACTTTAACTTAAGGTCTAGGCGTTGTCTATGCTTATAGTACATTACTACATAAGTCTCAAAATAAACACAACAATATTTTGTTTTTAATTGTTTTATAATGCCCAGGAAATGTGTATAGTATGTTTGGTTGATTTTGATAAAACAAATGAAAGAAAATTCCATAAGTAAGTACATACTACATAGTATCATATTAATGTTAAGTATTACCTATAATTGTTGAGATACCTACATTTGTTCAAAAATGTGGAATAAATATTTTAAATTTGTTAGATTTCCTATAATGACGAATGTCATAAAAAAAAAGAAATGGATGRTTGCATGTAATATCAAACTATTACTTCCTTTATGTTCTGTTTTATGTATTGTTCAGACCATTTTTTATCAAATGATTATAATTTAAAAGGAATTTTAAAAAAGATGCTATTCCCAAGTAAGAGATTTTTTTGTCTTAATAGTGGGATAAATATGATGAAGTATTTTATTTTAAATTCTAGTCAAAACGGYGAACCATTCAAACAGTTAACAACTGATGATGATGAAACAATTATGCAGTATAGTAGTGAGAGCAGTACACCCAAAAGATTAAAAACAACTTTGTCCAGGTACATGTCACTTATTGAATTATTTTTGTGATTTTTATTGTTATAGTATGATTAATATTATGTTATATTATTTTATATATAATATTATTATATAGGTATATTATTATATTATTATACTGATTATTATATTGTACTCATAATCCATTATATAATTAATAACTATATGTATAGGTATTACAATTAAATACAGTTGATATTTATTTGCAAAAAAAAACGTGTTTAAATATTATATAAATTTGGAGTACCTATACAATATTAATTTATACAATAGAGATCGTACAGAGTGGTAAACCTGACATCAAATTTTGCTGCATCACTGTGTCTTATGTCTCACCGCGGCTCGTAGTGCTTTTGATATACCTATACGGAAGGCTCGTCTATTTAGTATAAGGTCCATGAATATCACAGAACAATAAAATAATACTATTTGACAATTGTTATTCCGTTTTAGTACGGCCAAGGTGGATATATATATTATATATATGTATACAGTGTGTCCCGTTTTAAATGTACCCCTAAATATCTCAGCCCGATAATCTTAGATTGAAATACGGTTTGCTGCAATAGCTAAGGGGTACTGAAGTACACATTTAAGGAAAAATTTCAAATTTTTAACTCTTGTAGTTTGCGCATGCGCAATACAATTTTTTTTTAATTGCAACACCTATTTTTGTCACCGGGTATGGATAGATTATTTTATTCTAAGTAATTTTGATCCATTGACCATAGTTCTAAACCTAAAATTGAATGAGTTACAGCTTTTTGAAATTTTAAAATAATTAAATTTTTTCGATTTTACCAAAAACATCCGAATCCGGCCCGCGAAGGTGTTCCAACCGGCCCGTGACCATTTTATAAAAATTAGAAATTTGTATAGGTGTAAAAAAATTTATATACGATATATATACGATTTGAGTCATAAATTCAATAAATGAACAAAGATAATATTATATCCGATAAAATGTATAATATATATACCTATAACTAGTCTATATTTTATCGAAATGAACAAAAAAAAAAACCATGAAGCATATACGGCCCGCAGTATAAATATAAATTTCGAATGTGGCCCGCAAGTTAAATAAGGTTGGGCACGCCTGCTATACAATATACATGGTATATTATACTGAGTGTCCCGTGAGGATAAACCCATTAGCCGTAGAGGGGGACTCGTCTCCCGGGTAAAAATCAGTATTTTACTGTTTTTTCTATTGACCAAAAAAAATTGTTAAAAATCACGGAATACGTGATTAATGAAAATAAATGTTGAAAGGTCAAAATTTTCAGCAAAATAAACTCTATAAAAGTTTAAAATATATATGAAGGTATCTTTATTTTTATCAAAAATTAAAAAATGATTTTTTAACTTTTTACCAAAAAATGTAATGAAATAAAAAATAAAATACATGTGCTGTAGCCCAGTAGCCCTTGTCTACGCGAATCTAATAAAAACAGATTTATGACATATTTATTATCTCAGGATATATCGCAATAAGTAAATCCTCACGGGACACCGTGTAGTATATTATAGGTATATAGTTACCTAGGTAGTTATTTTAAATCAAGGTTGGTCCAACTATAAAATAGGTTTACTTGAAAATTCATAATATTAATTTCAATCCCTACAATAATAATATATAGGTAGTGTAGATTAAAATAATAGGTATATTCAGTGCCTAGCTATAGGTACCTAATGGCTAATACTTATATAATCCCTGCCTAAGCCTTAGTATTACCAGAAAAATTGCCGTTTGTTCACTTTTATATCCTTTTTCTACGTCATACATGTTTTTATTAAACACATCTTTACTAATTAAATTTGATTTCATTTTCATGTTGGAAATAAAATACGTGTCTGCAGCATTGGCCTATTGCCTATTATTTGGCAACAGTCCACGCTGTCTGTTTTCAGTGCCGCAACAACCACAGGGGCAGCCGGGGCAATGTCCCTGCAGAGGGCCGCTAATCGTTGGCTCAAGGGGCCCCGACGTGCAGTGCGTCTATTTAAAAAAAATGTATTATAGTCTAATGTTTAAATAAAATAAAATATATTAAGTAAAAATATTATTGAAAATATTTATTTTTATGATTTATAATGCTATTTAATGTGTTGTCGGAGAGCG